TCAGATTCTCCAGCATCTGCAGTTCCTACTGTCTCTGAAACTAATTTCTTTAGATCTGTTTGTGCTTTAGATTCCACATTCCCATCCTAAACAACCTTCTATTCCCTTGCCTAACAAGAATTTATCCATTATATATTCTAAAATATTCAATGACCGCCATCTCCACCATCCTCTGGTGCAGAGAGTTTCAAAGATGCCCAGAGAGATAAAGGTTCCCCTTATCACTGTCCTGAAAGGGACATTCCTAATTTTTTAAAAACAATTTGCATCCTCCGCCTACTCCACCCAGTTCTGAACTCATCCACAAGGAAAAGTATCCCTTTCATGTCCATCTTTTCAAGACCATTCAGGATCTTATACACTTACCAAATCACCCCTCATTCTTTTAAACTCCACTGATAACAGTACAGACTAATCAACTGGTATATTACTAATGTTTATAATTCAGATAACATAAAACTGAACCAATTTCATTAAACCCACCCAGGAGGTTTACAATTTAGCATTGACAATTGTCTGCACGGCACACTTCACTGGGGCTGTACTCTGGAAATCAAGCAAACCCTGTTATTTCTGAAATCATCACAAAAGTTAAATATTTTTATCCAAGTATGCAAAATGTACCCGTCTTTTAAGACCCAGGTTAACATAAAGTACAGACCAGGTTTCTGTACGTAACAAGAATCACTATTCGTTACAAATACTGGGTTCTAGCTACAGGTAAACAACTTTGAGTTGTCAATGTATAACTCTACTGGTTAAACTGTAACCCCATTGTAACCTCCCACTATGCACGCATGCAGACAGACAAAAAAATTGGTGTTTTGGGTGGAGTGAAAAACCAGAAAGGCAGTTCAACGGCCCTTATCCACAGGGTTTGTTGTGAGAATCCTTTTGGCTTACCATGCCTTGAAACTCCTCGATCTCTCTTCTCCATGTATTACACTTGACCCAGGAGGCACGGAACGACTGGTTCACAACTTATAAAGTCTCTGAATATTTGGTTAAAAGCATCAGCTTACAGCAACTGGTGAGAGAAAAAAAAAACTGGCTTTCTTTGGGCTTTAGGTTCTTTTTATTTCAAAGAAAAGGGCACCACTTCTGTCCCCTTCAGGAGGTCCAAAGGTTTCTGGCTATATCGTTCATACCTACAAGCTGCTGAGCTACATCAGTGCCAATCATGTAGCTGTTGGCGGAAAGTAGGCCTTTGTCCTCAACAACTGGGTCCAAATCCACAGACCAATCAGCTAGTTGTGGCTGTCTACATCTCACATGCTAAGCCCACCCCCAGAGTTAGCTGATCTGCAGTTAACCTGCCCCTCCCCACCATTATTTGAACCAGACACAGTGTAAACCACCCTTATAATGAGTATAGATAGCTTACATTTACAAAGTGCAGCAATCCCTTCTGCACTCCTTGGTTTTGAAAACAGTCCTTTTTCTCCTTTCGGTCTGCAGTCAGAAAAATGAAAAAATGGTACAGTCTTAACTATAAGTGCCCTGGCATTCTCACCAGCACAGCGAGAGACAGGGAGTCTGGTGGGACAAGTGGTTGACGAAAATGTTAATGAAGAGATCACCCAGATTGTTTTGAGGAGTTCAGAGAAGCCTCCAACCCTGAGGAGTAAACTAAATTGACTTTGGCTGGGTTATTCTTTGTGGAAAATGCGAAGTACACACTTGCCCATCACCATCTTTAAATAGTGTTGCAGGGGTATGGAGCAGGAGTGATAGACACCATACGCTTCATGGCACCCTGTTTTGTATTTGCATTGGGTATTCCACCTGTGCCAGGTGCCACAACCATCCAGCCATTCTCCAAGTTGGCATTGGCAGATGGTGAGGCAGGACTGTGTACCCCAAGGATTGCAGCTCAGCGCCACCTTCTCCATTACAGTTAGGAATGGGCAATAAATACCAGCCCAGCCATTGACACCCACATCCTCTGGATGGATGGATGAATGAAAGAGGGGCAGCAAGATCTTCCCCCATTCTCTTCGGAGCTTCAATCCTGTCTCTCTGTTCTACTTGTAACGTCAGAGGATATCTCTCTCCGTGCTCCCGTCCCTGTAATGTCAGACAGGTGGCCTAGTATAACTCAGTTCAACCATTATCTTTCACTGCTAAGCATGTTTGCAATGTTGATGAAGAGATGAAGTGAGTCAAATATCAAACACCTGGCGTCTGGTTGCCTCAGTATTTTCATAACTGGCTCCTTACTAAAGGCTAACCTCCTGGTGTGACCCATTACTGAGCAACGATTGTAGGTTTTGGTCATATAGGCAGACCAGGCCCATATGAAGTTTTCTAACCCACAGAATTTACAATAAAATAAAGCTCCATGTGGGCCGAAACCCACTTCCTCTCAAGAGATGGAGCCCTTGACTGACTGTACGGCATCACTTCCTGGTGAGGCCTTGTCATTTTAATTAGTACAGTGCCATTACAATGGTGTTTAATGTTACTTTCCCTCTTACAAAACTTGGTCAAACTTTGCCTCTGCAGCTAAGTATTAAGTGCTTTCTTGCCCAGTGCTTTTGTTTGGCATAGCACGGCTCACTAGAGCCATCTGTCTGACACACTTTCTTGGCCTTGAAAGTAAAACATTGGCTTTTAAATGAACCTTTGTTTAAGTATTTCCAGATGCCTACAACAGGTTTCTTTATGTCATTATTTTTGCATTTTAAAGTGTATTTTTATTATATTTGAAGTGTAAAATATTCTTGCAGTTATGACAAAGCTGATACTGTAACATGAGACACAACTTGCATTTATATAGAGATAACAAGGTGTAGAGCTGGATGAACACAGCAGGTCAAGCAGTATCAGAGGAGCAGGAAGGCTGACGTTTCGGGCCTAGACCCTTCCTGCTCCTCTAATGCT